CATGCCGGTGGTTTGGCCCACGCTGCTCGACCTCAGCAGAGATGAATGCAAACGAATCCTGCGCAAACTGGGTGAGACTCACTGAAGCATCACTGTGCTGTTGTGTGTGCTGATCGCAAGCTCACGTGTGTTTGTGTGTTCAGAGCTGGAAGCGTACGCCGGCGTGATCAGCGCTCTGCGCGCTCAAGGAGATCTCACCAAAGACAAGAAGGAGCTGCTGGGAGAACTCACTCGAGTGCTGAGGTGACGCACACACGTCGTTTACAGCCGTGTTTCGCTTCTACATCAAATGTTTGGGCTTCTCCAGTGATATGACATATGCTGGTCTTCTCCAATCATTGTCAGATTAAACCCCGCCCCTTTATTACGATCCACTACATTCAGATTCGCCTCCGCCGTTGAGAGCCACACCCACAGTTCAACATCCAATCAGCAAGCAGCAGATATAACTAAGTCCCGCCCTCTATTCTTTCTTTGTGGATAATCAGTTTCACTCAGATTTCCGTCACAATACAGAAGCAAAGATCGACTTTCATTTCATCACAACTGTAGATTGATGTTTTTTAGTTACATGTAGTTACAGCCTGTAAAATAATCATATTAAAATAAAGGTAACTGCGACTTTCTGTCTCACAATTCTGACTTTTTTTCTCACAATTTAGACTTTTTTTTTTTCAGGATTGCATGATGTAAACTCACAATTGAGTTATAAAGTCAGATATAAACTCGCAGTTACAAGGAAAAAAAGTCAGAAATGTGAGATAAAAAGTCGCAGTTGCCTTTTTATTTTTTATTCAGTGGCGGAACGGCTTTCACAGTTTAGAGCTGAACATTAGGATAGTTCACATTAGGAGACGATTAGGGATGCACCGAAACCGAAAATGCTTTGTAATAATTATTTATTATTTTATTAACCCTTGTGTTGTGTTCCGAACCCTTTCACACTTACGAGGTTACAGAGCAAAAAAGGCACTCCCTCAAACAATTGCTTATAAATCACTCATTATGCTATATTATCACCAAATATTGGATTCAATCTTTTTGTCAACTTCTTTTCTTTCATTTAGGACTGGTTTTGTATTTATATTTGC